AATGCAGAATAATCATATAGAAATAAAAAACAAAACAAAAACCTGACACTGTGAGCTATTTGAGCATGTTGCCTGCCTGCAGCACTAAAGGACTCTGCGAGAGACGTCTGTCTCGCCCTAGCAGCACCTGCCCCTCTCCTCCTCTTCAGTTCGCCTCAACATAAGCTCATCATATTCTGTGATATGATTTACTCTGAGGTGTTTGACGAGGTCAGTGGTGTAGCCACAACACCTCACTGTCTTGCCACATATATCACAAACCGCGTCTTGGCTGTTTGTGGAGGTAAAACACGTCCACACACGTCCTGTTTGCGCTTAGCCATTGTTGTGAGTGTGCACGCCAGGGGCTCCGACACATTTATACAGCCGTATTTCACATATGACTATGAAAGGCGTAAGAGGAAGTAGTTCCTTCCAAATTAGACGATCCACATAGTTTCTTTCCACTGCGTTCATTTTAATGGAAAAACTACAAATTTACCCCAGAGTACTAAAATATCGATATTATAATATGAGAATCGATTCTAGAACATAAATTGCTGGTATCGGAAGAATCGATATTTCAATATCGATCCGCACACCACTACTGCTCAACAACAGTATTTCCTGTAGTGCAGAAGCAGACCAAAGAACCACTGTCAACTGACTCCCTAAGCTAAGATGATCGTTATTTTTGTTTTGTGTAAAAGACTCATTGTAAAAAAAAGATTGGTGTGTTTCTTCTTCTCTTGAACTCCAGACAGTTGTGAATGACATTCCTCTTGACGGGAGCGTCACAGTAACCCAGAACGGAGTCATCATAACGCTCCCTCAGGTCCTCAAAGTCCGCCGCAACAGATGCAGCAAAATGACCTACCTGCAGGTCGAGGTAAGGATAGAGAGAAGGGATGGGATAGATGGATGTTTGTTTGTCAGAGTTACTCCAGCCTCTCTGTTCTCCTTTCTGTCTCCAGGGAAGATGTACAGACTGTGATGGACCACCCCGATGCATTTTCTATCACAAACCAGTAAGAAAACTGTTATAGTTCGTGGGGTGGACATAATAACTGAAACTCAAGCTTTTCCAAAAGTAATTTTAACAGCTTTAAAAATGACCCCAAAATTAACGCATTCAGACTTTACAAAAGGGACCTGAAAGGGAGCAGGGTTGTAATTGTATGACGCGTGTCGCTGTTCTTAAAGTCATCGGGTTTTTCTGTTTAGTGTTTTTCAGCATTTCAGGCTCTTTTATTCACTTCTGCCTGTTTATGTTGATGATTCCTGATGTTGGTGTAATCTTTATGCTACAGATCAAAAAACAGTTTCCAGCCAACATGCAACCCAACTGTAGGTACAGGAAGCGGGTCGGATCCAGGAGGAAGTCTGTGCTGGGCTGTGTCATCAAATGTCTCCGGACCACTATGGTCTGCTCAAACTTATTTCCATAAACATTATGGTTCTTTTCATAAGGGTCTGATGAAACCTGATAAATGCATAATAATCAGCTAGAAACACCCGTCATCACTGACACAAACACAACATTGTGTACATGTTTTAAATTCAATAATAATAATAATAATAATCATCATCATCATCATCATCATCATCATCATAATCATAATAATAATGATGATGTCATGGATTTGTCTGCCCTGCAGGATCACTCCTGTTGCCCCGGTTACTATGGCCACGAGTGCTTCAAATGCCCCGGAGACGTCGGCAGCTGGTGCTCCAATCACGGGGAATGTCATGATGGTAACCATGGCAATGGCGAGTGCCGGTGCTACGAGGGTTTCCATGGAACTGCGTGTGAGGACTGTGAGCCGGGGAGATACGGAGTTAACTGCTCCTCCAGTGAGCAACATGCAGACACACACACGCACAAACACAGACACACACACACACACAGAGTGAAGCATTTCCTGTCTGCCATATTTTATATTTGTCACAAGGGGGCGTTACCCGGTGACGGTGGAAAAACAGCTAAATAAATATTTAGGTGTATTGACTGTAGATGTGGAGAAGAGACAAACGAGACTCGACATGTCAAAATCAATGCTGTTTAACTATGTTTGCTAGATTTTCTACATCATCATTTTAGGGCTGTTTATAAAATCATTCAAGTGCTAACGGCATTCCTAGTCCCCAGCTTCTGATTATAACAAAAACTGAGCTTCTGAGACGCAGTCTTACACAGCTAAAAAAAATCTATAATACTAACAGCCCTGTGAACAACAACAAAGGATCCATCCATCTTAGATCTTCCTCACCCACTCCTGTGCAAACACTGACATGAGCTGTGAGATCGGGGGTCTCCTCCAGGTTGGACCTCCACCAAAGACCTCCGCTAGCCATCAAGGAGGCATCCTAGTTAAATACCTGAACCACCTCGACTGGCTCCTTTCAATGTGAAGGAGTAAACAGCTCTGCCCTGAGCACCTTCATCTTCATGCCAATCTAGACAAATGGCATCAAGGGGAGAGCTCCAAGGAAAAACGCACTGCTGGCCAAAAAGAACTTAAAGGATTGTTGCCAAATAAACATCTTGATGATCCCTAGGACTCTTGGGAAAATATTCTGTGGAGTGATGAGACCAAAGTGAAACTTTTTGCAAGGTTTGAGTCCTGTTACATCTGACTACAGTGATTTCTAATTGACATAATCTTGGCCAAGTCATTGTTTATGCAACACTTTGGACTACAATCATGTGACTTAAAAATATAGAAATTGGCAAAAGCTCATTGCTCAAAACTAGCACCACTGATAAACAATGGGCTAGTGAGGCCGGTTTCTTGATCATTAATATGCAAATTGTCATGACCATTGATTATTGATCACTGATCAACAACAGTTGATCAATGGCCATGAGTACCATTCACAGAGAGTTGAGAAATGGCTGCAATCACAGCATTGTAAGATGGTGAAAGATGTACCCTTTGACCCCCTCCTCGATTCAGAGATGGTCTTTCCCTTTTCAAGTAAATGGCCTCTTTGACTCCCCGCTCAAACCAGCGTTCCTCCCTGTCCAAGATGTGTCACTATAACAGTGTCCACTGGCCTGCAGGTGTAAATAGACTGCGGAGTCCTGGCCGGACGAGGTAGCTCTTCTGTGTTGTGCCATCCGTTCAGCCAGAGGCTGTTTGGTTTCCCTGATGTATATATTATGGCAATCCTCCTGGCACTTAACAGTGTACACTATATTACTCTGTTTGTGTCGGGGGACCCGATCCACGTGGATTTTTGGCGCAGCATATTTTGGGGTTTAAAAGCCACAAAGATGCGGCGTTTAAAAAAAAAGCAAAAAAAAAAAAGCATCTCAACTGTTCCGATACTCCAGACACATAAGGGATCACTACAGGTTTTTGCTTTTGCAGCAGTTGTCCTTCTCTCCTGAATCGGTTGGGGCTTTCTTTAAGCGCCTTCCCAGCTTTGATAAATGTCCAGCTGAGATAACCACATTTACTCAGGGCCTTCTTGATGTGATGTTCTTCTGTTTCCAGCCGTGCTGTCTGTGGAGATGGTGTTTGCTCTGTGTTGCATCCCGAGGACACCAAGTTTGTGCTCCAATCAATAATGAGACCCAAACCTTAAATACTGATCCATATGCATAGGTTTACAGTACACGTTAACTTTAAATGTCTCCTGATAGACTTACTGATGGAAATCTCACAGTCTCATTTTTCATATCTTCCCGAGTGAATTTGATGTGTTGGTCCACCGATTTACTGTGATCCGTGAATTGTGGTACGCCCTTAGATTTGATTTTCAAACCAGGTGTCATCCACAAACCTGAACCAATGACTTGGTGGTGTTCCAGGGTAGGATAGCAAAGCCCTCTTTTCCACTTCTTCCATGTACAAATTAGCCACAATGAGTGAAACTGGGGAACCCATGGCACACCCATGTTTCTGCCTGTAGCACTGACCTTTGTATGTGAAATATGTGGAATGAAGACACAGTTCCAAAAGCAAACACACTTGGTTGGTGCTGAGAGTGGTCCTGTTGCTGAGATTGGGGTCATCCTGTAACCTCTTACGAACAACCTCCACTGCTTCAGTGACTGAAACACAAGTGAAAAAAGTTTCTCCCACTGAAAACGTGATGTCCTGATGAACAGAAACAACTTTTTGTGATTTCCTTCGCTGGATGATTGAGCATGCATCAAGACATTCACCAGGCAAAGCTAGTAGGTGACAGGTTTGCCACAACTGAAAATCAAATGGTATTTTTGCTTGAAAAACTCATCCATACTGCAGGAGTAGCTGCAGGGGTTTGATGCTTTGATCAGGCAGCAAGGACAGAGAAAACCAGCTTCAAGTTTGCTAATAAATCTGTTATTAGCAAAGCAAAATAATCTCATAAAGCTAACAGACCTGTGACTAACACTTCATTAACTAAATAAAGTCAAGGAGGGAGTTATGAGTTGTACTGTGTGTGTTGCAGAGTGTAATTGTGCCAACGGGAAGTGTGAGGATGGTCTGACAGGAAGTGGCAGGTGTGTGTGTTATAAAGGCTGGAAAGGAGCCTCCTGCTCTCTAGGTAAGACGTCTATACAAAGAAACAATTAAATTTTAACCACGCATATTTTCTCTGACCTGTCATCACCTGAAACCTGTGTGTGTGTGTTATGTGTCTCAGAGATCAAAGATGACGCCTGTGGAGGTGTGTGTGACGAAAACGCCAAGTAAGTCAATGTGTCCTCAGTTGCTGTGTTTCATGATGGTAACAGCACAAGCACAAAAAACAACAAATATTATATTTACTGACCATAATATTCTTTTTGAACTCAGTGCTACCCAGTACAGTTAGGCTTAAATTTTAATTCTGCACACCTCATTAATAGTCAGGTTTTGATAACATGGTGCAAAAGGGGGTTAATATCCATTATAGGCATATTTGCAGATGCATATAGCCTTTAACCTGCCAGCTCTGCACTTTAAAGTCTGTGGGATGTCCAATTAAGCTCATGTGAGAGCACCACAGGTAACTGTCCAAACAGAGAATTCCCATCATAGTAACGGGAACGTGGATGAAGCTCTTTCTGCAGGCTCCATGTGAGAAAGCTGTGGGAAATTAGTGATAATATTATTATAATATTATTAGCTGCCTTTTCTCTGCTTGGGCCAGGCAAGTAAATGAATGTTGCTGGTTGATATTGGTGTTTAAGACACCTATATCAAACCAGCAACCATGCTAGGTTGTTGGTTTTAAGAAAATGAGGTTTGTTCTGAGTTTAACTAATCAGCATTGAACCTTGGCAGTTTTTCAGAGCTACTCACTTTTTACTCTTTACTCTACATCAGCAGTCCCCAACCCCCGGGCCTCGGACCGGTAGCGGTCCGTGAGTCGTTTGGTACCGGGCCGCAAGAGTTGAGGCTCAGGTGTGAAATCAGGGTTTTTATCGGTTTTTAGCGTTATTTTGTTATCGTTTTTATCGTTAACTCGGTTTTCCAGGGTCTTTTCACGTGTGTTATGAATAATTCTTCTTTTTTCGGTACCAGTACAACCTCCATTTTATGACTGCAAAGCAATAGCTATGGGCAGAATAAAAGACAGACGTATCTTCCAGGTGTAAAACGTGAATCCAAATTGCAATTGCTGGAAAACAGCATTATTTTTCATGGGCACCAGGGGGTGATACCTGTGGCTGCCAAAAGACTTGCAGTACTGTAGAAATCTATGGGAAAACTGCCCTCTGATCCCTCTTCTGAAAACTCTTTCCAGGCAAGTTTATGGGCTAAGAAGTGGTTTCAGATGATGTTGAATGAAAAATGTCATTGATTTTGTAAAATCATTCTAAGCTTTCACAGAGTCACCTATTTAGCATTTTTAATGATGTTCTAAAACCAAATGAGCTAGTGTGAAGAGTACAAAACCGGAGAAATATGAGCTCACTTACCACTTTAAGGAGTTATGAGTCTGGCAGCAGCATTTTGTTTCTCTTGGAGGTGTGAAAGAGATGATTTGTCTAAGACGATAAAGAGGGCAATGCATTAATGTCGGCATGATGACACAAATGCATGAAAATATTTCCCCAGTTCAGCTGAGTTAGATCGAAGTTTGGAGTTGTTCCTTAAAAGAAAGAAATAGAAATGTGAAATACATTTTTCATGTGAGTCAAAGGATAAAATATTACATCAAGACTACAAACACAGACTCAGCAGATGAGCAAAAACAAACAAGAGTCTGACTGATTCTGGAGGAACGATAGTCATGCGTAAGTCTTCTCACTTATCTGTGGTAAGCAGTCACATAAGGTGGACAGTGTATTCAAAGTCAACTGTTGAGGCTGTAAAGACATACACAGCTGAATGTCATCAGCATAGAAATGATAAGAGATGTCAGAAAAAAATCAAATGATGCCATCTAACAAAGAAGAATGTAAAAAGAAAAACATAACGGACCCTGAGTTGAGCTAATAAATGAGTGGAGTGAAAGGGTAAGAATTCTGCAGTTTGCATAATTAGAATCGAAACTAAAAAAAATCAAAATTAGTTAGTGAGTGTGTCATTTCAGAGTCAGATCAACCCCTTGTGGCAATATCTGGTTTCCAAATGCCAAGATCTCATCTCAAAGCTTCAAAACAGGACTTCACAAACCTGTGGGTGACATCAGTGTTTTATACGTTCTGTGGCAATAAAACAACCCCCCCACTTCCCATTATTTGTCAACCATGAAAGAGAGTTTTCCAGGAAAATCCTCATGTTTCTTCCAACTTTGTCTTATTGATTTCAACAATGACATACAAAGTTAGCAACAGCTAAGTCAATCTTGATTTCAGAACAGTGGTATGTCCATTATACCCTCCAACCCCCCAACCCGAATTCTCCCCCTACCAGGTC